ACTAATTAATTTTTAAATATGATGAAGCTCTGCAATATTTTTTGAGATATAAAATTTCAAACATATTCGTATGGAATCAGTTATGGCAAATACTGCATCTTTTAATTTTTATCAGTGTATCCTATCGAAAAGAAAGATTACAAAGATGCCGGAAATTATTCCTAATGAAGTTAAAAAAGTAAAAACATATTATAATTCATTTATTCTTAATTTGTCGAACGGTAAACTCTGAGAAAAGCGAAGGATACTGTAATATCATAACATATGTAATAAGAAATAATTTGCAAAAATGAACCTCATTACGAAAAAAAGTTATTCCTTTTTTTTAATTATTAAAGTTTTATTCCTTTCCTTTAATAAATAATTTAATAAAATGTTTTTTTTCGTATCGAAAAACAATTTTGTTTTTTAATGTAAACTTATCTCTTTTTTCGTCATATTCCGAAATTCGGCTTGTCCTACATGTATCAATAAACGATATATTTTAGCATGTCACATTCATAAAAATATTAAAGGCATGTTTATGTATGTAAATATGTAGAAAGTGAGAGGACAACATAAATATATAAACAAATGTATATTATAAATATTTCATTCTTAAAGAACGCAGGATATCAATTAAAAAGAAACAAATATTTTTCTTATAGTACAAAATCTGAAAATTTATTAATACTGTAGGAGTATAATCAAAGTTATTAATAAAACACGTCTCTAGTATTAATTCAGCATGCTTATATTATACTTTATATTTGCATATTATTCATTAAACATCATTTAACAATAAATTGAAATGCTTAATTCTAATTTTCTGCTATATGTTTGCTACATATTGTAATATTTACTTTAAAATAATAAATTTAGTATCATAAAGATAATCATATATTTCTGACAGTTTTGTGTTAAAATCTGTTAATCAGAATATGATACAACTAAATAATGTGTAAGTAGCTGTTATAAAATTTAAGAATACATATATTTATTCAAATACATTGATAATTTTGTTGTGATAAAAAAATATATTAAAAAATCTTTGCAATCGCTTCGTAATTAAGTGTAAAATATATAGCAGATAATTATTGCTATTTCTAATTTGTTTAAAACAAAAAAAAATGTTTAAATGAATACTTTATATTTATATCAAATAGAATGAAATCAACTATCTTTTATGTAAATGCAGTTTTATTTGAAAATTACAATGTAAACTTACTTTTTACATTGCCTCAAAGGAGATGTACATAAAACACCATGATTTAAATTAAAGAATAACTACCAGAAAAAGTGAAATAAAAAGAGAAACGAAACCAATTTTCATTCACAATATTTTATAAAACATAATTTGCGATGATCAATAATCTTATAATATAAACTTAAGTACTTTAAGTTTCAATAGCATAAATGTTTTTTTTCATAACTTTTAGATATACTTTATACTGTTATTAAAACGTAAGAAATATATGATTTCCCCTTTGTGACCCATGTAACAAATTGACATTATGGTAAGAATATTCTAACAAATAAAATTGCAGGTAATTAACATTATTATTAAGTTAAAGAACACAAATTTTAATATAAACCTTTAAACGGAGTCGTAGAAAAAGAACGTTGTGATTGAAAATTTGAATTTTGAAATTTCCAAGATCCTACATTGTTTCCACTTTGCCAACCACTTGTTGAAGTTTTCTTCTCAATATCATTCTGAGAAAGCCAACGCGGTTCTCCAGCATTTTGAATGCCATTATTTTGCCACTGAGATTTTGTACGAAAAGGTACTCCTTTATTTTGCCAATTATCTTCAAGTTTTCCCCATGCATCTCTTTTTTGTAGTTTATTTTCCCTTACCCATGTGGATGATGAAGCTGTATTTTCAAATTTAAGCCACCTTTCTTTTAAATCTGAAGTACCATCATCACCCCAAGGATCTTTTGCATCATCTGGTAAGTCGTTTACATCTTCTTTGTTACATTGTTTCCAAGATTCTTTAACATTATTTACTGATTCCCATCTTCCTTGTTTTTTATTGTCTACCCAAGGTTCCTTACAGTTAGTGAAACTTTCTTTTCCACGAATATTCCAATTATCATTACTATTTCCAGGCATATTAGATGTTGTTGACCATCTATTATCAAAACTTGACGACCATGTTTCTTTCATCGTAGATTTTGCACTTATTTGCTTGGAGTTCCAAGTATTTGGACTACTATTCCACGTATCATTACGAACAGGATCTTTATCACTTTCCCATTTTTCTTGGTTGAATATTTTACGACGTCGTTCATTACAAGCAGTTTGATCCCAATTGTTAGTAGATGTTGAAGTTGTTTTTTCAGTACGCCAAATATTCTTTTCAGGCATCCGTTCCACAGGTCGAGTCCAAGTTTGTTCAATGGCTCCTCTACTTGGTATGTCCCACTCATCACCAAGCTTCTGCGGTGACATTTGTCGTCTTTGAGGAGATTGTTGCTTTCTTGATGGTGATGTAGGACGATCAAATATAAATCTTTGTGGTGATTCTGCACGTCTCATTGTTGATGTTTGTTGTCTTTCTTGTAACATTGTCTGTCGTCTAGAAAGCAACATTTCCTGTTTATTAAGGGGCATTATTCGGTTAGGAGATGGAATCTGTCTTCTTGGAGGAGATACTGGCCGTTTCATTGGTGATGACTGTCTTCTAGAAGGAGACATAATGCACCTTACGGGAGACATTTGTCGTCGTGGTGGTGATAGACGCCTTGGTGACACAGGTCGTCTTGATGGTGATATAGGTCGTCGTAATGGAGACATTTGACACCTTATAGGAGAACGTTGTCTATACACAGGTGACATGGGACGATGAAGCGGAGAAAAGTGTCTCCTTGGAGGTGAGCATGGACGTCTTGGTGGCGATAGTAATGGACGTTTAGGAGAAGTTTGTCTCCTCATAGGTGAGATTGGTTTTTTTATATTTTCCATATCATTCCAACGATTTCTTTCAAAGGTTTTATCTCGATTCCAAGAATTTTCTTCATTTTGTTGCTGACGTACGTCAGAGTCATGATACCGTTCTGGAGTTATACGGAAAGGTCGTTCTCCCCTATGATCAGTTGCTGGTGCTACTAACACGATTGTGTTTGGTTCTAAAGGTGGCAAATTGTTATATTTTTTATAAATCGGTTTTGTCATAGATTCCTCGTTATTCAAAAATTTCTGATTTGGTGTTGTAATTAAAATATCTCGAGAACCTATTTCTTGAACATAATGACCTTTTAAGAGAGAATCATCTAGTTTCTTTTCACTTTGATCCAAATTCACATTATCTGGTGGTGATATGCGATCCCAAACAGAACGTGGAAGTTGACTTTGGAGTTTATTTGTTTGTTCTAAAACCATATTTAACATATTCTGTAATTTTTTTGCAGTATTTATATCAACTGTCGGTGCTGGTCCGCTTAACTTTTCTTTTGCTATTTCTAAGAGTGCTTGATGTTCCTTTACTGTTTGAGCTATATCTGTATCGAGTCGACTATTGGATAATCTTTCCCTCAAATCAGTTTGCTCTTTATGTTCTCGCATCTTCTTTTCACATGAAGTATTAATGCGTAACTGTGGAGTTTCTACGTTCCATTCCTTCTTTATTTTCGTTGATAGATCTAATATTAAAAAATGAAAAGATTAATTTATTAAAATTTGTATCTAAATCGACAATGAAAATTTTACATGTAGTTAATAATTGGAATATTCTTAAATGTAACACACGTTGAATACAAACTTACCTGCATGCCAAGGTTTAGCACCGAATTTACCAAACTTCTTCATTAATTTTTTTGGAGGCACTTCTCCTTTTTCTGGAGAATGAGAACGTTTTCCTTTAAATTTATTTTTTGCAAACAAATTCTCAACATGTTTCGTGTAAAGTGCTTTCTTTAATGAAATTTTCGATTTTCTTGTAGGATGTTTTACTAATGATTTATTGAAGTTCTTTTTAGTTTGTAATTCAGTTCCTTTGGCTGATGTTTTTTTATCTGTTCCATTAATGCTTTGTTCATCTATTCTTCCTTGAGCGCTTTTAAATTCTGGATCTTTCACATTTTCTTCTATAATTTTTTGAAACCACAGGTGATTAAATTTATATACCATTCGCCGTTGCATCAAAATAACTGCTTCAAAATGGGGACCAATTGGTAAAGTATCAACAACACAAGCCAAAACAGGAATAAACGGTGATCCGTGACTATGATCTCCAGGTCGAGCTAATTCTAATATAGCACGTACTGATTGTTTGGTTAATGTTGTTATCATTACTATCCGTTTGAGGGATGGAATTTTTCTGAGACATGTCATAACTTCAATTGCTGCAAAATAGAAATATATCTAAATATGCATACTTTATAATAAATTTTCAGTAAATAATTTAGATACTGCTATTAATAATAGAGTAAGATGTAACTGGACACTTAGTGCTAAATAATTGAGATAAATGTTATGTAATTTAAAGAATATAATTAATATTTTTTTAATGTACAAAACTAAAATGCTACAGTAGCAGTTGTACGGTTTTAAAAAAGGACGTATTTGAAAAGCAAGTCGCATATACAAATATTTTATTCTGTAATTTTGATTTATTTTTCCATAAGGAATCATCCTTTTTCCCGTTCTACGATGATTACTGAGACATTTGTATTTGCTACATATATGATGCGTTTAGTTTACAATTTAAATAAATACATTTGGAAATAATAAATGTTGAAAATAATGACCAATTATAAATGTCATATTTATAATACAACTTATATTTTACGTACCTCGTCCAAAAATAGTGTTTGTATTTATTATTGCACAAGTTTTGCGATTTTTTACCCCATCAATAATTTTAGCTGTTACTTCAGCAGGGGATCCCATGATAAATGAAGCATTTTTTATATTATTCAATTCACATGTCATTTCAGCTTCTTCTACTTCTGATGGAGAATCCACTCCTATTACTTGTTGACATTTCTACAATTTAAGATGAAAATTAAATCATTTCCGGATATTGTGGGAAATAATAATTTTTAATAAAAATATATTCTTTTTACTCACAGAAGCCATCATTAACCCAATGAGACCAATACCACATCCTATTTCAAGTACTGTTGTTCTGGGGGTAGGTGCAAGCAAATCCATTACTGCATTTGCTACATTTTCTGCCCCAGCAGTGTTTGACCAAAAGTTTGTTTTCGGAGCGAGTTGAATTTTTAGCCCACCTACAATTTCATCTAAGGCTTCTGATCCCACCAAAAATGTTGTATTTGTAACAGTAGAGTCTTCACATCTAAAATTAAGAAGAATAAAATAATAATCCATTATTTATGTTTTAATAAAGTTTATGTAGCTTACACTTTATCTAATTGTATCTAGTTAAATTATCTAATTTACCTAAACTTATGCAATTTAAGTACTATGAATTTTTAAAAAATATTCTTACTTATCAATAGATTTGCAATAAAGAGACTTCACATTGCAATCTTTTCCAGGTCCAGATTCATAAACTTGCTTCAATCGATCCATTGTAGAACGATTAATGTTTTTTCCAGTTGCAAATAGCATAAGTTCATCCATACTATTACAACGTACTACCAACCATAACCAGTCTTGTCTCCCTTCATTATATGTTTCCTTTCTTGATTCTACATCCATAGATACATTATCAGAAAAGTTTTCATTTACAGAATTTTGTGAGACTAATTGTTCTGTTGTTTGAAGAAAATCTTCAAATATTTTCACAGCATGTAGTACAAAAGGTGGAAATTCAGATTTATTATTTACATTTACACCCCATGCACCACTTGCGTCCAATTTCCAGATTACATCTGTACTTTTGTTGAAAGAACTATTGGAATTTTCAGCTTTTATTGTAGAATCAAATATCCTTCTTTTATTGCAATTGAACTTCCAACGATTAGTGTATGGTTTATCTAGGCAACAGTGCCGAGATGGTTTCAATTTACATAGGGGAGATCCATTTACTTTTTCTTCATATTCTAACCATTTTTCATAACTTGGATAAGAAATTCCTAAAACTCTAGCTACTTTTGATAGCCGTTCTTTTATAATTGCTTCTTTCTCCATGAGCTTTTTTTTATACCAGCCATTTTTTCCTGACTGCACCACAACTTCTCCTTTAATGTCTTTATCAACATTATCTGGTAATTTTTTATCAATGTTAATATTATCATTTACTTCACTTGCTTGTATAGGTCTGTCATTCTCTGAATTAGAATTTTTACTTTCTGTACTTTTCTCCATTGATTGATTTTCCTCTTGTACTTGTAAACTTGAAGAATTTAAATCCATATTTTCAATTTCCTCTAGATTCTGTAAAACATCTTCGTCTGTCATATTTTTTAGTTCATCCAATTGATCTAAATTAATATCTGCAGTAAAATCAATTGACTTCATATTTGATTGTTGTGGACTTTCATTTTCTGGATTTGACATATTGCTTTGAATATTATTGTTAGAATTTGAATTATCTGGCAGTGCACTATTTGTTGAATCCATAGCTGTTACTTCTACTTGCTCTATATTTATATTTGGTACATTTTTGTCTAAGGGTTCAATATTCTCAGATTGCTTTTCGATATCTGTATTTTCTACAGGTTTATTTTGTGTGTTGTTAGATGTATCTTCTTCTTCGTTACATTCATCTACTACTTCATAATTTTCTCCTTCAATCATAGGATTCATAATATTCATTTTGTTTAAACAAAAATGATTCTGTGACGAAATATAAAAGTATTTAACAACAAAATATTAAAGTACAAAAGGTAAAGCTTACCCATTTTCTTATCAATATCTGAATGTGAATTTTCAGTCTTATGATCCATGAGACAAATGACACTTGGACTAAACGTTACTGACGTTGCACTTGATATTGATAACTGACTTTGTGACGCAACTGACATGTACGCAGAATCAATAAATGAATGGAATTAAACCAAATCTTTTATCAAATACTTCGCTGCTATTATACCCGCTCGGTTTATCATGGACATTTTACGCCAATTGTAATGTTCACAAAAATAAATCTCTTACCATGTCCAAAGTATATACACGTATACTTCACTGCAATGTGGAAATATTTTTCAAATATTTTTATTATATGTATCGCTCGTTTATTGCGAGAGTTTTACATAATCTTCGCTTTATTTCATCGCACTACTTTATGCCAAGTAAAATTTAATCGTGCGAGGAGCAATGGCGTAAATGACGTTCCGAAAACAATCGATTAATGTAGGGATAGTTTCCCCCAAACTATAGCGAGCATAAACAAATACATTTTAATATTGTTAAATATTTTATATAGTACTGTTATTAAATATTTCTTATACTATCGAGTAGAAGATGCTGATAAAATGTAGAATGACATAAAACACTATTGTAGGAAAATGTATATGATTTTCCATAAAACTCTAGAATTACTAGAATTAGTATTTTTTAGGTAAGTAAGAAAAATAAAGATATTTAATTCAGTAATATTCACATAAATTTCCATCGCATAAGTAGTTTTTTATGACTAAGACAAATTTCATTTGTAAATTCGTAATAAAGTATGTTACTAGAAAATTTCAGTAGCCAATCATATTTATTGTTAATTTCCTAAATATATTGGAAGGGGTATCTAGGTATGTGTGAGCTGATGTTTTTAGAATAATTTATTAAATTTCGAAGTATTTGGAATTTTTACTCTTTCACACAATTAATTTTAAAGAAACACACATTACTGCATCTTCTTATGTAAGTCTGTTATAAAGATTTAGTAAGTGTTTTACAAGTGAATTTGTCACATAAAATTTACGCAGTTCTGAAATAGGGAAAACAAAACCAATTTACCGTTATACAAATATTTTTTTTACTGTTGATTACAATATCGATAAGAGAAATAATTATTTGATTAGTTGTAATTATTGAGAACAAAATTTGTATTACTTTACACCAAGTTATGTATTACATATTTTTGTATTGGTATCAACTGTTTACTGTACGTAAATTAGTAAAAAATTGTTTTTATACATAATTCTTTCTGGCTTGAGCAAACTCTTGTGTTTTCTACAATATTATAAATATTACAGTGTGTTTCTTAAATATACTTAAATAAATAAAAAATTTGACGTAAATGATTAGGCGTATCACAGGTGGATTTAAACGAAATGTTATATTAATAATATTTATTACGTAATATGAAGCAGTTGTCTATTAAACTTCAATTTGTGCAGTCTTTATTACACATGGACAAAATGTAAATTAGCAAGAAAATTAGAAAATTAGCAAATGCTTGTATTACAATGTTTTTTAATATTGAAATAACGATATTTTCTTAGACTGCATGGACGAAGTAGTTATTAATTAATGATTTGTAATATTTTGACCTGAATCTAACGTAATGATAAAAATTTATATAAATATTTCGAATATTTCATTTATCTTGTATAAATACAACAACATTACATTATTACTTAAGAAAACAATTTTTAATGTAATTTTTAAATTTTGTATTTTAAAGTTATATCAATCGCATAAATTGAATTGAATTCAATTTCATACCTTACAAAGTTTACGGAAATAAACTTATAATATATATGTATATACATATATATTACACTACTTCTTAGTTCATTTCAACGAAATGGAATTTTAAAAAGAAAATCGCGCTTTCATTTGAAATTCAAGCTCTCACGATAAGAAACCATTTAATCCTCAATTTTCTCGTTCGTTTCTGAACGCATCGTAATTGCGCAGTGTTCAAAAACTGGTATTTAATATCTCGCGAGCGCAAATATTCTCAACAGTTGATTTACAATAAATTCGCGTGTACGTAAACCACGAACTATGAATTGCTCCATGTGTGTTTCTAATCGATCACTTAGTTAAAGTACAATCACTTTGTTTATTTGTAAAAAATAAATTGATCATCACGCAAATTAGAGCTGTTTTCGCGATATATATGTAGATCGCACGATTTCGTAAATTCGATCACAACGATTACAACCTATCCTTTCCGTAATACATACCGTGTAACGTTACACATCTACATATAATCGATCTGTTATTCCATCGATATCGATATTAAGTCCCATTGGTTTCGTTTCTATCGTTCGCTCATTTCGATCGAAGAAGGAGGATCCTGATAGGTGTACAGGACATGCTTGCAGGCCGATTAAGTTCGTGAAGTTGAAGGAGGCTTAAACGCGGAAATTCTCTGGAGCCCAGTCAGGGCGCATGCGCGGCTCTTATAGATTTTCCCCTTGGTACACCTCGGTACGTGTAATACCGACACAAAGCTCGGGGGTTCTGAGGATGGGGTAAAAGGGGTGGTGTGCGTTCGACGCGAAGCGTCCACGGAAAGGAAAAGGAACTGCGCACACCCTGAGGTGGTGGAATAGGAGGACGAGGAGGAGGAGGGGGTGGTGGAGGGGGAGGAGGAGGAGGAGGAATAGCAGGAAAAAGAGGTAGAGTAGGAGTAGGAGGAGGATATAGCGAGAGGACAGAAGCGACGGGCTAGGCCAACCGTCTACACCGTGAACAGCCCGATCGGGAATGAATAATCTCGCGCATAGGTGGTGCCCGACGTGAAGGATTTGGACATGTGACCAAGGGTGGGTGCATCATCGAGGTGCATCTTCGTGGTGCACTGTTACTCGTATTCCGCGGCTAAACACGTGGCTGCCGTTCTCCAATGCGTTTTTCCAATGGTAAGTTTTGCTTCTCTTCTTTCCACTTTTTTCCCCTCTATCTATCCGTTACGTTACCCGGTATCGCATGCCACGAAACTGTCAACATTCGTCAGGTATTTAAGAGTCACTCTCTATTCTTCGTTATTCCACCGTTCTGGCGTACACGTTAAAAACATTTATCCTTTTTAAGCGTTATTCGTCGATTGTTAAGTTTGTCTTTTGTTTTCTTTTAAAGTGCATTCCGGCGATGCTCGTCGAAGGTGTGTTTTACGATTTAATTAAGAAAAACGTTTTTTCTCTGCAAGGATCTGCGCTGCGCCTGTTACACTTTTCAACGGAGTGTTAAACATTCATTCGGTTCTTTGTAAAGTTCGTATTGATATCTGACTTCCGGGCGCGGTTCTTCTTATTACCGTTTTAGACTGTTCGAAATGAAATTGTGCAATTGAAAGGTGTCCAGGGTAGGTGTATTTCTCTGTCAGTTTTGAATTATATCTTCGTTAGAATTCAGTTGTTTTTGTGATATTTATTTAACAACGATAAATATTTTTACACAAGGGAATCCGATTTTCTGTGAATTTCATAATTAGCGTTGTTATCTTAACCGTGTAAACCTTGAAATTTAAAGGTGGTGCCTGATACGTATCTAAACTTGGCACTGTTCGACTTCAAATGATTTATTCACCCTTTACATGCTTTCATTGATAGCATCGATATGAAGTTTGAATAATTCTCCTATTATATCGTTTTTTTATTAAGTTTATCATAACACAATATATGACGCGAGTAAAAGTGGAATATTCTGACGACGTGCAATGAGAAAAATGTGTGCATTTAACGTGCATATTTTCAGTACGCGCTGAAAGAACGTTAGAATTGGTAAATTAGTTAGTCTCGATCTTTCAGGTAAAGATTTATCGAATTGCGTTTGCAGTATTATTATTTACGCGATGCAAGACTGTTATTTGAAAAAAAGTTAAAAATTTCGCAACATTTTTACTGCTTAATTTCTTTCTTTCTGTTTTTTTAATTACAACTCTTACCATTTCTGCATTTACTTTTTAATTTAATATAAGCAGTAGTAAGGTGATATTGTGTGTGTGTGTGTGTGTACGTATAATTCGTGTTTCTTAAGTTGTACGTTGAATTATTTCAATTTTATATTTAATTTTGTATCTAATATTGAATAAAGAATATATTTTTAACCTAAGATACTTGCAAATCTTTTATTCGATACTCGATAAATATCAAATATTTCAATGTTTATTGTGCATTAAAAATACGCACTTAAGCGTGTTGCTGATAAAAGTTAGTAATTATCATCGGGAAGCTATAAATAATTCTCTGTGAAATATGTACTTATAACATGTAGGCAGTTTCAATCTTAAGAGATTTGACACGCTCAATTAAGATTCTAATCATAATAGAGATAAGGTGATTTATAATAGTGTAACTGGGTATCTACAAGAGCCGCTTTTCCCTTTAAATTGTTCGTCATCGAACATTTCGCATGCATAACAAACTCTTGGAGTTTGATGCATCTAATTAGGGGTGGAAAGAATTATATCGTTAAAGGGAAAGAAATAATAAGTGTTTATTAATTTTAGTAAATATCGAAATCGTTTGAAACAATCGAAACCTTCAAAATGTCGGAATATTAATTACTTTCGAAAGCGCGTTTCAAGGATTGGGTACTCTAAGAAGCTGTTATTTTATCTATTTTACAATTAATTACAATTAACAGCTTGAGACATGTGTGCTGTATGGAAAACAATTCACGAAACTCATCGTCAACAAAACAGTATACATGTGACATTAGTTTCGTTTTTTTTTCCTACGAAAGTTTGTTCGTCAAGGAAAGTAACATGAAAAATGAAAAAGCATTAAAGAGATAACGTGTACCCAAAAAACAACGCATCGTTAATTAAAGAAAGTAATAAATATGAAACTTTTGCAGTAACAGGAATAGTTGAAGTGCATAAGAAACAAACTTACTTCTAGCAAGATTTTCTGCAACTTTCG